ATGTAAAGAGGACTTATTTTGGTAAATTCGTGTACCAGCGTCCATATGCGTAAATTTGGAATTTTTTTTATTTATTTAAAAAAAAAATCCGTAAACTGAGTATGATATCTAATAATCTAATACTAAAAAAAATATGATATCTAATACCAAAAATAAAAATAAAAATAAAAATAATAAGTATGATATCCACCTAAATTAAAGTTTGGGGAAAAGTATATCCTGTCCAAAACTAAATTGTTTGGAGGAAAGATCTCAACATTCAATATATTGTAATTCATATTGATATTTAATCTACTAACTCTATGACCAAAAACAAAAAAAATCCGTTAACTCTAAATTTTGGTGTGATTTAAATTATTTTCTAAATACACACTTTTCTTATTGATCTACTTTTGCTTGATCCCCTATAAACGACTCCAGGGATGGCTAGCACATGAAGTGAATTTTTACATTTAAAGAGTCAAAACTAACTAAAAGTAACAAGTAACAAGTAAGTAACTAGCCTTAACAACCCTACTTATGTTGTCACATTTAATTAATTGTTTATCTAAAGTTTTAAGTTTCACTCCTTAATTACCCTTTCAATTTTACTCTCATTTACATCTTAGAATTTAAGATAAATAAAATAATTTGAAAAATTAATTACATGTCAAAATTTTATTAATTGTAATGTCATGAGATTTTTGACATACTTGTTCATGTTGTTTTTTTAAAATTTATGAAGTTTAAAATTGGTCTTGGTGAGGCTCGAACTCACGACCTACCTTCGGCTCATAAGACCAACGCTCTAACCAACTGAGCTACGAGACCAAGTCATTTTAACAAATAAATTTTAATTTATTTAGATGTTAAATTCATGCTAAATAAACATTATTAACTTAATCTGTGCTATTCAACCATGAGTGTTAATTCTTTGTCTATCAAATAATATTCATTATTTTAGGGAAAAATATAAAAGCTACCCACAAAAGATTTAGGCGTCAACAAAACTACCTATAAAAAAAAGTAGCGGCTTTCTATGCATGAAAATTGAAAGATGTGTTTATTTGAAAACCTAACGTTTTTTGAAAGTTTCAATTTTATTCCTGTTATTAAATTTTGAACGGTCAACCGTTAGTCAATTTTATTTTTCTCAATTTTGCCCCTAAGTCTCTCCTCAATTCATCTCCCCCAACACCACTTTTTTTTCATCTTTCGCAACACCAACCCCCCTCCTCCAACACACGGTGACACCACACTAACACCACTTTTTTTTCATCTTCTACAACGCCACTAACCCTAACACAAAGTAACACAGAGCACATTACCACCCACTATAATCACATCATACATTACGTATTTAAAGAATATAATCACTATCCCAAGAAATTAACAATAAGTGATTATATTTCGTGATAGTTCAAATTATGAGGGAATATATACATATACACATTAACAGATTTATAAATTTATGTTTTTTAATTTTATTCAAATTAAATATTTAAAATAACAGAAGCTCACCAAAAGAGAAGTGACAGTGGAGACTAGCAGGTACGGTTTGACATAAACGGCGTTGATGGAGGTTGGACGATGTGATGGAGGCATCGACCCGACGAGGAGGATCTTGGAGTTCTGGCCACTAAGGAGGCGCGGCTGGGGGAGGTAAGGCCGGTGAATCGCTGAGAGAGAGAAAGTGAGAGATAGAGAGAAAGAGATAGCGCAGATCTGACGCACATCTATGAAGGAAAGAGCAGAGCCTATAAGGTGCGATGGCGGTGGAGGCGCGGCGAGGCAGTGGCGGCAAACAGTGAGGAACGAAGAAATGACAGTGGGTGGTGGTGTTGTGCTGTGTGGGGGTGGCGGAGATGGGAAAAGAGGAGTGACAGTAAATTGATGAGATAGCTAGGGTTAAAATTGGAAAGAACAGAGTTGACTAATAGTTGACCATTAAAAAATTGACGGTAAGGGTATAATTGAAACTTATCGAAAACGTTAAGTATAAAATTGATACAAATTAAACGTTAAGGGTATTTTTGAAACTTTTCAAAAACGTTAGAGACATAAACAATACTTTACCCTAGTTTTTTGGATGCCTTTTCAAGACATGTTAGCTTATTTCTATTAACAAATAAGTCCCATGCCTTAATAGCTTTACAAAGTTATAAAACATATTGGGAACATCAAACTGGCTTCAAACTTAAAGCAATTCAGAGTGATAATGCAAAAGAATTCACTTCTAATGCCTTTTCTGGTTTTTTAAAAGCAAATGGTATCTTTCATAGATTGTCTTGTCCCTATACACACCAACAACAAGGTAGTATAGAGAGAAAACATCGTCATATAACAGAAACATGGCTATCTCTTTTAGCTACAGCATCTATGCCCCTAAAATTCTTGGATTCTGCATTTACAAGTGCTGTATAGTTGATAAACCGTATGCCAACACCTCTTTTGCAAATGTCAACTCCTTTTGAAAAGTTATTTCAAAAGAAACCAGATTATTCATTTTTAAGGATTTTTGGCTGTGGGTGTTATCCTCACTTGAGACCCTATAATTCAAATAAGTTTGATTATAAAAGCCAATTGTGTGTTTTTCTTGGATATGATTCACAGCACAATGGTTACAAATGTTTATCCAGAGATGGGAAAGTATACTACTCTAAAAATGTCATTTTTGATGAACAATTTTTCCCCTATAATGATTTGTTCTCTATTAATTCTAACACATTTATTTCTAAGTCTTCTTCAAAAAATAAAAGTGCAGGTGTTATCCCAATTTTATGTCCAACAGACTCTTCTTCACACACACTGCCAACTCCTACACCAACATCAACTGAAGAGGACATGCAAGCTGTAACTTCAGCTGCTACATCACCACATCAACAGCATCAACCTTCAAGCTTCACACCTGATACTGCCACCTCTACCAATACTACACAATCTAACTCTGCTAAACAGGTTCCTATTAGTGGTATAGAAATAGTATTACCCATTACTTTTACATCTCCTTCAACTAATACTACTACTATATCTAGTGCTACTGAAAATGTGCATTCTATGGCAATCAGATCAAAAACTGGTGCGTTGAAGCCTAAAACTTATTTGACTAAATCCTCAAAATTTACTGATTACACTACTGCTGTCCCTCCTAATGTAAAGCAAGCTTTGCTTGTTCCACAATGGAGGAAGGCCATGGACACAGAACTCCAAGCTTTAGGTAAATGCAAAACCTGGAGTCTGGTTGATCCACCTAAAACAGCCACTATTGTTAGTTGTGAATGGGTTTTTGCATTAAAAAAGAACCCTCAAGGTAATATTGTTAGATACAAGGCAAGGTTAGTTGCCAAAGGATTTCAGTAGAGAGAGGGCATTGACTATGAGGATATTTTTAGCCCTGTAATAAGACCAACCACAATTAAGATAATGCTAACCATTGCTCTCACACAAGGTTGGTCTTTGAGGCAATTTGACTTTGATAATGCCTTCTTGAATGGCATTCTAACTGAAACTGTTTTCATGAAACAACCACCTGGAATATTCACTGCTAATCCTTCTAAAGTTTGTAAACTTCATAAGGCCATTTATGGCCTTAAGCAGGCACCTAGAGCTTGGTACAAAACTCTGGCTCAGACTTTACATAGCCATGGTTTTCGAAATTCAACACATGATATAGCCCTGTTTACTAGAAAGAAAACAGATGAAGTAACTTATTTGTTGATTTATGTGGATTATATAGTAATCAATTAAACTCTGGGTTTCCACTCAAGGATCTTGGGAAACTGAATTATTTCCTAGGACTTGAAATTACAAATTTGGGTAGTCAAGAATTACTCTTAAGTCAAGGCAAATACACAAGGGATTTGATACAAAGGGCTGGTATGGTTGATGCAAAATCAATGCCAACCCCTATGATTTCTTCTATTAAATTATTTGCTAATGACTCTGATTTGTTTGATGATCCAAAGAAGTTCAGGTCTATTGTGGGAGCACTCCAATATCTTACAATAACAAGACCAAATATAGCCTATGCAGTCAACCATTGCTCACAATTCATGCAAAATCCTACAATTGAGCAGTGGAAGGCTATCAAGAGAATAATTAGATATCTTCAAGGTACAGTGAATTAGGGAATTATCTTTAGCAAGTGTACTGATTACAGGATTTTGGCTTTTTCTGATGCAGATTGGGCACCAGATCTTGATGATAGAAGAAGTGTGAGTGGATTCTGCATTTTTCTAGGCCGCAATCTTGTATCATGGAAGTGTGCCAAACAGACTAAAGTCAGCCGCCACTACAAAAAAGTCGTTTGTTACCGTCAGATTTTATCTAAATATTCGACGGCTGGATGTTTTTCGTCGAATTTTCCGTCGAAAAGGTACTCGACGGTAAACTGCTCGACGCAAATGATTTTCCGTCGAATTCTTGTTGTCCGACGCAAATTTCCGTCGGATCGATCCGACGCAAAACGTCAAAAAAATTACGAGTTGAACTTACCCTTTTCCGTCAGACTACAATCCGACGCAAATTTATCCCACCAATATCCGACGCAAATGTTTGTGACGAGTTACGGAGAATCCGACGGAAAGTCTGACGGTAATATGACTAGTGAGTGATGGATAATCCGACGGTAAATCCGACGGAAAATAGACACAGGATTTTGAAAATGTGTAGCTTAAATATACACATACTATTCCAAAATAACACACCTAATTCGGACAATCCAAACAGCAAATAACATAAATCAAAACAGAGGCAAATTCAAATTCAAATGCAGAATTAAATCAAATATCAAAGAAATCAAAATAAAAAAATATATATCTAAAACAAACGTAGTCGTCGTAGTAATGAAAAAACAAGAAAACTAATAAATACTAGCCTAGCTAAGCATCCTCATAGTCATCGTCGTCGTCGTCTCCCTCCGGATGGGGGTGCCGTGGCAGTGGACGAGGTGGCAAAGGTGGTGCGGTCGTAGAACCTGAACCAGCTGCAGTAGAGCTTCTCCCAGGGTGTAGGGGGCCGTAGTAGGCTGCCATCATACGCGACATTTCCTCCATGCGCCGTAGATGATCCTCTGCCCGTGCATCCTTCTCTGCTAGGGTACTCTTCAGGCTCTTTACTTCGTCAATTTGCTGTTGCAGCAAATCGCCCTGACTCTGCAGGCTCTGCGTCAGGTTCTGGACCTGCTCTCTCAAGTCCACAACCTCCGGAACGGGTGGACCTATGTGACAACTGGATACAGATGCGGATGAACCTGCATAGCCGGATCTGCGCAGTGATGAGGCGAAAAAACCTCCGGCCCCGTAAACCCGGTTCTTGTATGGCTCAGACAGAGTCTGACGCCA